TTTCATAATTTTCTTTGCAATTGTATAGAAATTATAATCTAGTTGTAATAATGTAAAAGAAATCTATTGTACATTACACGAAATTAGGTGAATACGTACAATAATAAAATTTGTTTAATTAACACATTTGATATATTTTATTTGAATATTTTTATTGCAAAATATTTGGATAGCTTATTTTTTATACTAAAAGATTATTAATAAATTCGAGAAACTTTCGTAATCGCGCAAATACCGTAAAAAAGATTTTTTTACATAATATAAAGGTTATTAAATAAAAGTGAATCAAGAAAAACACGATGTTAACCCAATAATTAGATATTAGCTTTTTACGTAAAATTGGTCGTTCTTTTAATATTATAGAAAACACAAGTATATTCGAAAATAAAATATTGCGAAATATTAAACATTATCAATCATGCGGAAATTAAAATCTGTAAAACAAAATAATTTTCTTTGATTATCGTTTTTAATTTAATGTATTTCGAGAATTTCGCATCGCGTTAAATATTTATAGATTACGATTTATTGATTTACGATTTTATAATAAATTATATTGCAAACAATTGCGTTCTTTTCACGTTTTTGGATGTGATCGCTGTCTCGACGAAGAAGCCTTATCGCTGTCCCTCATGTCAGGTGGACGCTAGCAAATGCGCGGTTTGTACTGGCGGAGAATCGAAACGATTTTCATTGCGGGAAAGTTATTTCTCGCCGGTTTTTGTGAGATCTATCCGCAACGCTTAGTTCGGTGCCTCATTGAAAATTGAAAGTTTCATTATAGAATAGGAATTAAACCCAGGTTTTCGTAGCGGTTCCTGGAAACAATGTTTTGGCAGTGATTTAACGACAATCACCGTACATTGTTTGAAATCGAATTACAAAATTCATTATACTTTGAGAGAAGATATATTTTCTCTTTTTGTTAAAAATGTTCTTCCATTAATATCCTCCTATTAATATCACTATTATTTTAATAATGAAAATAATAATTCAAAAATGGATATAATAGATAAAATTCACTTTTTCACATATAAATTTAATTTAATAAGTTTTTGCGGAAACTTTTTTGTGTAAAATTTTTATTATTTGAAAAATTATGGTTACAAACAAGTATATTTTATTAATTAATTTTGAATTAATTTTATTTTTGATTTCTTTTAAGAAACCACTTGCAGGAATTACTGGATGCTCCTTACTATCTTATGTATATTATAATTAATTTATTTTAGATAAGAGTATACATATAATAAAATACATGTGCGTAAATTGTGACATATTTGAAAAATTATTTTTTAATATTATTCTTAATAATATATTAGGAATGCATGATATAATATAAAATGTGTGATTAATTAAAAAATTCGAGACAAATCGAATGGGTACTCTGATATCTGCAAATTATTGTTACGTGCTAAGTCTTAATTGTTAAATGCAACAGAAAAATTAATTTCTTGATAATCTTTCATTTGATGTTGCTAAATATTCAAGTTGAATTTTTTTTTAATCTTGCTGTTATCAGATTTGATTTGTCTCGAATTTTGAGCAAATTTGGTACCCTAAAATTATTATTATTCACACATTTAATCAAGTAACGATAAAAGCGCATGTATTTCATTTTACTTTTAAATATATTTGATTGTAACATGTATATAAAAACTATTATATCCAGTCATTATTTAGTAAAAAAAGATATTTCTTAAAATGGAAGAACATTTTTTTTACACGAATTTTAATTTCATTTATTGAAAATGATAAGAAGGGTAACAGTTAATTCGTTGCCGAAATCACTGTTATCAGGAGCAATTAGGAAGATCAGGGATTCATTCCTTCCTGTAAAGGGATTTCTGATGTTTAATGAATCACTTAACTATTCATTGTAGATCGATTTCGCAAGATCCAAAATAGAAGAAATAAGACAAATTGAAGTCGTTTTCCACTTTTAGGATCGTTCTTCTCTCTGTCAGATATTAACCAGCGTGTCACTCGGCAGAGGGATTTTGATTTGATTTAATCGTTGGGCCAATTATCCTTCATTGAACGTGGTGATAACGCGATTAGTTTAAAAATTATTAGAGTTTAGCTTGTTTGCAATTGTCCGTGAAACAAAATTGTATATTTTACTTTTGGTCGCAAAATTTCTTTACATAAAATTATAAGTATATGATAATAAATCAAGCATTAAATTCTGCGTTTGATTTTTTACGTATATATAATTGCAGATCATATGAAATGCGCCTCTAATGTTGCAGTATTTTTATTATTACATAAAATGATAATAATTATATTGCGTGTGCGCACATTCCGTCGAGATTATTATAAAAATTATATGGATTGTAATTAAATATTACTATTACTGTCAATTTATTTATTTGTCATATATATTTGTAAAATTCAAATCGCGATTTTTTTCTCATTTAATTGTTGGATAACATCGAAGCTTAGTTTATCTTTTCACGATAATATTTCTTTTAAATATTTGTTTTAGAAAACCTTATAAAATGTATTAAAATTCCGGATACTCTTTCTTATTAAAAAACATAATCGATAAATTTATTAATGATTTTTTTTAGTTGCGATAAACATCAGCTCTACGCTATTCTCAAAATTTCTAATCAGTTTTACATTGTACGTATTTCGGATATTCGTGTAATATGATAAAATAATTTATGTATGTATTCTATATAATATTTTTATGTATCGTATTATGTATAATGTATTTTTTATTATTGTTATAATTATGTATATTATATACTATATATTTCCAACAAGAAATTTTATGTATTAATAATTTTTTGTGTTAACAGTAATGAAAAGCTTTGTATTAAAAATTTTATATATTATATATTATAATACACACACACATATATATTTTGTTATTGTTATAATTATGTATTATATGGACTATGTATTTTCAATTTAATTATAATTGATTATATATATTAAATGAAATTGTAATTTATATTTTTAAATTATTTATATTGTACTCCGCGTGTATAAAATATTGCATTTTATAAAATATCTTCAGAATGAAATATTATGCAATAAATCAATTTTTATTCAAGATTAATTCTATTGTAATGTTATAAATAACTTTTACACATAGTTTTGTTATAATTTTCATAGTATAATTTTAATAGTATAATTTGATGCATAATATTTTATTATAATAATATGTAAGTTCACACATAAGTGCGTTAATGCTCTCAACATCAAATTATCTATATTATTGAAAATATTTGGATAAATTCGAATATATTTATGATGTTGATAACATCACCAATTAATAAATATATAATTATACTATAATTATAATATATATCTTATAATATATTTTTATTTGATTGCAAGTTATATGTAATTATACACTACAATATTTTGTGTAATTATATAATATATATTTTATAAAATTTCTTTGTATTATATTTTCTATTTGGAAAATTTGAAAAACTACCTACACCACCTACACCCTTCTAAAAGAAAATAAAAATAAAATAAAAATTTTTTTCCTCCTCATTGTATCTCCACCTTAACGAAGGCTCTTGCCAGGTGAGGAGGTTTGAGTACTCTTATGATCCTAAGAGCTATGCCGGCGGTAACATAATTATTAGTAGGGTCACCCATGCCGAACAGGTCAAAGGGAAAGAATCAGACTAAGAGAGATACAATAATTATATATGTGTGTGTGTATCTACACACACACACACACACACACACACACACACACACACACACACACATATATATATATAAATATACATTATATAAATATTCTTTTGAAAAAATGATAGAATAATCAAGAAAAGGAAGAAAAGGAGAACTGAGTGAAACATCTCTCAAGACTGCTTGAGGACAAATGGCCACAGAAGAAATTCCGATGGACATCATAAGAAGAAAGAAGTGCGACAAGAGTTCTTACGATCTTGCGACGATAATACGACAGTTCATTACAGGACTAGAAGAAGGGATGCGATAGGAATGCATAATAATTACGAATAAAAAGATAGCTTGCAGTAGTATAAAAATCGTTCATAATAATAATGTTTTGTAATTATATTTTACAATTGATTTTTTCAAAAATATCTTACGGAAGAAATTTTGTTCACTTTTTATTTACATTGACATAATAATTTTATTTACATTAACGTAATTAAGTAAATTATTTCTATACATATTTTGCTTGTATTTTATTTTTTTAAACGGGTTCGTAATATGTATTAAAACAAAAAAAGATTACGCGCAGTTAGTGATATGCAATAAAACATGTTAGTAAATTTATAATATATTTCCGTACTTTTGATCTATACCCAGGTAGAACATGAAACTCATAATGACATCATTATGACGTCATCATGATTTTATTTATCACTTAAAAGTCACCTAAACAAAAATGATTAAAAAATGAGTTAAAGATGACAAAAAGAATCATAAATTTTTAAGTTCAGTAATCGCATTATATAATTTTAAAAAGATTATGTTGCTTAAATATAAAATATACATGAATAATTAAATAAACAAGTAATTGCGTAATATATATAAAATATAATATTAATAAGTCACCAAAACATTGCCAAAAGTATATCAAATGAGATCATTATGATTTTTCTAAAATGACTTTTAGGTGACGTCATAATGATGTCATTATGAGTTTCATATTCTACCTGGGTAATTATGGATCTAGTACGGATATGAACCAATCGGTCGTTTTACCATGGGATCAAAAAGTGAGTTAGCCATATAGTTCCATCGTCTATAGTTCCATCCTCCGAAATGGATCTAGGGGACGCCACTATACAACTTAGTAAAACTGGGTCTGTTCTTTTCAGCTGTACTGCTGCACTAGTGCAATAAGTTAGAAAGAGACAAACATACTTTCTTTCACTCTAACTAATTGCACTAGTGCAGCAGTGCAGCTGAAAAGAACAGGCCCACTGTCACATGAAAAACGATGACATGATCTCTCTCAGGCTTCTACCTGGCCCTGGCTCTTGTAATTTTTAATTTCATTTTGTCTATGATTTTATATGAATAAAAACATGTAATTGTACAAAGATTTAGGTTTAATTTAGTAATAAAACATGATTGTTACGACAGAAGTATCAAATGACGATATGCATTATGACACAATGAGTTTTTACATCGGTCTAGGACTAGCGATTAGTTCTAGCGGATTTATAGGTTAGTGATTAAATGAATTTATTAAAAAAGAAAAGAAATGTCAGTATTTTATTTGTCAATATTAGTTTTATTTAAAAAATAGAATTTATATTATGGATAAGAATTTGAAGTAGATTTAGGTGACATACAAGAGTAACTGGAAATTAATTGTTTTGTTTTAATATAATCTTATATCTTATATCTTTATTCTATTTTATTTAGGTGCCAGTTTTATCATTAAGAAAATAGCTTTAATTCGACTTCAGAGATATGGTGGAACTCGTGCGTCTTCTGGAGGGTTTGGTTATTTAAAAGAATGGATATGGTGGGCTGGTCTATTATCTAGTATGTATAAATCTCAAAAGATTTCAGATGCTATTATTTTTCTGTGTCATGTAAAGAAAAATAATAATAAAAATAATTAAAATGAATGTTATAGTGGGAATAGGAGAAGTGGCAAATTTTATCGCATATGCCTTTGCGCCTGCATCGCTTGTAACACCATTGGGTGCATTGAGTGTTTTAGTATCGGCAGTATTAGCTTCCAAATATCTTAATGAAAAATTAAATCTATTGGGAAAGGTGAGGAAGAGAAATATTAATGATTGCTTAGCGACAATTTATAATATTTTAATGTTGCAATTTATCTTTTAGATGGGTTGTTTATTATGTGTCTTAGGTTCCACTATAATAGTATTACATTCTCCTAAAGAGGAAGAAGTTAGTAGCTTAAGTGATTTAATTATCAAGATAAAACAACCAGGTTTTATATCTTACATTCTAATTGTCATAATCTGTACCTTGTTAATTATATTTTATTTTGGTCCAGCGTATGGCAAACAAAATGTTTCAGTGTATATTTGTTTATGCTCCTCTGTGGGTTCTTTAACTGTTATGAGTTGTAAAGGCCTAGGCTTAGCTTTAAGAGAGACCATATCTGGTAAAGAGAACGCATTTGTCATTTGGCTGACATGGGTCTTCATATTTAGCATTATTCTTTGCATCATAGTACAGATGAATTATCTAAACAAATCGCTTGATTTGTTTGACACATCTATTGTGACACCAATTTATTATGTTCTCTTTACAACATTGGTGATAATTGCATCCGCGATTCTATTCAGAGAATGGGAGAAAATGAGTGTGGAGAATATTTTGGGTGCCTGCTGTGGTTTTCTCATAGTTATAATTGCTATATTCTTATTGAACGCGTTTAAAGAAATAGATATATCTTATGGTAATATTAAGCACATATTGAAACCCAAAAGGGAAATACTTATGAATTATCATTCAAAATGGGAGGATCAAGAAAGAGTAACGAGTAGATTAGAATCTCAACATTTGTTGAGTCATAATTACGCCAATTCAGATCTCACTAGAACTGTCTGAAATTATTTTTAAAGTATAAATAGCACAACAAATTGTGTTAAATTGATATTTTGTAAACATTATAATATATATTAGTATTATATATATATATATATATATATATATATATGTATATATATATATATATTTTATTGTATATAGAAATTGTAAAAAAAAATTATATAATATATTTTGTTGTCTTTCACACACATACACATGTATTATATATAGTGCATGTGTATCTAATTTAATATATATATTCTTTATGTTACTTTCAAATAAAGTATTTAAAACATTAAGTATGTTATTGTTTTAATTGCAAATAGTTTTATTCTCTCCCGGGTTAAAATAAAAAATAAAAAAACAATTATTGGTTTAAACTTTAAAAACTTATTTTTTTCGAGAAAATTAATCTATGGAAAAGCTTATTTATAAAATATTATTTATAGGTAGATATATTTAACATGTGTGTATAAAAAATGAACAATATTTGCAATCTTAATATGTAATATTTACATATGTACAAATTTTTAATCTGAATAATTAATCAGAAAAATACAGTAAAAATTGTTATATTTGTATTTTAAACTGCGTTCTATTTGCTGTTTGTAACATTTGAGAACATCATCTATCTTTATTCAACTTGCAACAAACAACAAGGACAAGATGATCGCGAGCGTCAAGTGAAACATATCTTCGATGGAGACTAGACATATTAGATACGTTCTCCGCATTTGTCAGAATGACATTCAATTTAGCTGCCTTTTCATATATCATAGCATTAATTGGTGACGCATTTTTAATATTTTTTGCGATATTTCATGTACGTTTCCGTAATTTTACAGTGATAAAAATTAAAAGATCATTTCTATTTGCATCAATTGCACATATAACCTTACATGAATATATTCCCGCATATATTACATTACTGTGCGAATAATGTGTTTAATCTTTTAGGTAATCACATTCGATGAATTAAAGACTGGATATAAAAATCCAATCGATCAGTGTAATAATTTAAATCCGGTAAGAGATGTGTATTATATATATGTGTGTGTAAAGATACAAATATTTATATATATGTGTATATATTAATAGTTATTTATACTTTTTCAGCTAGTTCTTCCGGAGTATATATTGCACATTGTCATTAACGTTTTCTTTTTAATCAGTGAACAATATTTTTCACTGTTCATCAATATTCCACTGATAGCCTATCATGTATGGCGATACATGAACAGGCCTTTGATGACAGAATCTGGATTATATGATCCTACAAGCATAATGAATGCTTATGATCTGTCTATTTATCAAAGAGAAGGATGGGTTAAGCTAGCATTTTATCTACTTTCATTTTTCTACTATTTGTACGGGTGAGTTATTCTCTTTTACTCCTCCTCTTTCTTTCTCCATCCTATTTTCTCCTTTTATCAAATATCTCTAATCATGCTTTTAGTATTTTATTATAATTATATTTAAATAGTATTAATTTTTGTTTTGCTGTAATTTATATTTCAGAATGATCAACTCGTTGATTAATTAAAACCAGTAACCATCACAAAATTAATCTTGTTGATGAAAGAATTTTTCATTTTTCTTATGTAATAACGCATATATTGGAAGTACAAGTGGTAATTACAATTAATTTATTGTACTGAACATTTTATAATAACATAACATGAGAGGAGAAAGTTTGTTGATTATATATCTAAATAATCTGTCAACATAACATACCTAAATATTTCTTTATAATATGTCATAATGTGTTTTAAGCAAAATATCATTATTTTAAAAAAGTTCATTTAAAAAAACATTTGAAAAATTATTTACAAAGTAAATATGTATGCATTTTGAGTCTATTAGAATATTGTTATTCTGTTTATTCTTTTAAACATGACACAGAGAAAAAAATATTTTGAGCTAAATATTATATATATATATATATATATATATATATATATATATATATATTGATTTAGTATGTTAACAAAATCATTGATACAATATTCTATATTATAATAAAATGTTGTTTAAAAAAAATTTTGATTAAAGATGAAATTTCAATATGTTAAATATAATAGCTTTATATCTTTACAAATAGCATATGCACTAAATTTATGTTTATTTTACATGTGTAAACACACATTGATATTTATATTAATATATTAATTCTGCAGTCAGCGAGATGTTTACAAGAGCGAATATTTAATAAAACGCATTTTTTCGTAACAAAATACATACTTTACGTTTTGTTGAGTTTTCATAAATTATATAAATTGATTTTTTTAAATATTGAGATCTCTAAATTTCATACATGTGGATCCAGCCTTATGCGTGGTAAAAGGCGATGCGATAGCCAATCAATTTATGGCTAGTTCGTAAAGCTGTAATCACATTACGATTGAAATTGACCAATCAGAATAATCGGCTGACAAATTGCTTTGTTTTGACCTGTAAAAGCCCTAATTTTTCTTTCTTTTAATATTTTTACTACAAAAAATATCATCTTTACAAAGCTTTGAAAAAATACAAAAAAAGTTTCTTAAATATCTAACATTTCTAAGAAAATTGACTAATGTACATTTTAAATAATGGCGCCAAATGTAACAATTTTTCGATTAGTTTCGCCATTTTTGTTCCGAAAATCTCTCGATTAATCACGAAAAAAATGTTCCGTTTTCGGATTCTCTTTAGAGAGAGACTTCGATATAAACTCTATGATATATGTTCATGGTGCAAGCGGAGAACGATTTGTCTCTAATCGGTAAGGGAAAACTAGAGAGAGCGGTTGCTCGGCGTCAGATCGCTGCGTTTATTAATCGAGAAAAAAACCTGAAAAAACCTATTCTCATGAAAATTTATCAGGAGATGGAAGGAGGGGGACAAAAATTACCCCCCGACACAGATATATCCATTTCCCGTGTCTACCTTGACACAATCGATACGTTTCCCAAAGCATTTCTGTCCTCGCACATACATGACGCGCACACATGGCCACCGCTCCCCACGTGCGCGTGTGTGCGTGTGTGTGCGTGTGAGCGAAATGCGGTAATCGCGCAGGCTATGATTCGCGATAAATGAAAATATCGGGGAAATGCGACGATAAGGGAGAAATTTGTGCGCGCGTCAGCTGTCTCATAAGTCACCTCGGACATGACAGATCGCTCCGGGAGGAGAGGCTGTCAAGGGCCCGTGTGGCCCTCGCGATACCATACTGGCTGCGTATAGGAATGTGGCATTTCAAAATGGCTGCCACGGCTATTCTAGTAATTTACAGTCTCGGTAATCCGCCTTTGTTGTCGCGTGTGTGAACCGTGCGAATTCTCGCCAAGAGGCGGCCCCGGCGCGAGGAACTCCGAAGTCGGAGTGACCGATGCGATACGTACGCATGCGGACACGATACGTACACGCGTGTGTGTTGTGTGTGTATGTGTGTGTATGTGTACGTGCATCCGTTCATCTGTCTCTGCTCTAGCTCGACGATCCGCTGTCTCGCGAGAGGTGTGCACCGAGTGATTTAGGGTGAATCTCGCGCGCATCGCTGACGTTTGGGCCGTCCTGTCACCTCGCCTCGCGCGCTCGGCTCGCCAGAGGCAGCGGCGAGGAACGCTGGGAAGCGAGCCAGGGGAATAATATGCTCGGGACGGCTGCTGTCGTCTGTCACCCCATCGGAAGAAGCCTGTCCCGCGGGATCTCGGCTCGTACGTTTGTTGTCACGTTGTAACGTCTCAGGTGCGTTGACATTTAAGCTTGTCACCTGTTTACCGTCGTCCTTAGAATTCTCCCGAAGGGTTTAGCAATATGCCTGGAGATAGGTTAGCCACTTATCAATCGCGTGCTACGAGGATGCCGAGAAGCGACTATGCGAAATATGCCTAGTGTGCCTGCCGAGTCTCTGCCAATCTCATCGAGCGAGGTTGTTTTTCAAGACGGCGTGAGGAATAGCTCCTTGCGTTTTTTTATCTACGTTTTTCTAACTAATATATCTTCTTGTTATTGTGTACGTCATTTGAGCGACAGGAGTCACCCCCGAGCTCTTTTGAGCGTGTTTTGAATTCGACTAGCTGTCCTGACTAGAGAGCTGTCACCAATCATGACGCTAGAAAGTATCCGCAACAGGACAAATTAGCAGTGGATCTGGTATTCTGTAAGTATTATCTTGTTATGTGAATTAAGTATATGTTTGTATGTCAATTTCTACATTTAGATATAATATAAAGACAATCTTAATCTTGATTCATATTTCAATAGGATTGTATAAAACAAAGTCTTTATTATATCTCAATAAACATAATGTAAAGTTTGTAAAAAATATAGCATGCGTATGTGTAAAAAGAAACAAAGAGAGCTTAATAATTATAACAATATATATTAATTGGATATTATAATTATAAATGTTGATATAATTATTATTATACATTAATTATACATGTTGATATTGATATTTCTCAAAAAATGAAATTAATAAGCTTAAAATAATACTTTCAAGAAATTAAATTTAATTGTCTTATGTAGTCTATACAGTTGTGCATTATATTGTTTATATATTAAAGAAAAGAAAAATATATCTTTTATTTTAACATCAGTAATCAGTATAAATTTCGTTCTATTAAAGTTTAGATAAATTTAATTAAATTTTTGTATGTTTTGTCTCTGTTCAACGTATCAATTTATCCTGTTTATGTAAATTCTGTACATCTGTAGTAATATACAAAAAATATACAATGAAATATGATATACAAAATATACAAATGTATAATAATAATATACACAAAAAAACAAAATTAAAATTAAAAAAAAAAAAATTGTAATGCACAACATTTCTGTTTTCCTTTTACTTTGATAAGATTTATTTAATTCTCAGATTATTACATATTATTTTTAATCAAGTTTAATAAAAACATTATTTTTGTTGTAGATACATTTATATATGCCACAACCAGATTAAAGCTAGGTCCTAAAGGGCCTAGCATGGGCCACTATGAATCCACCTGCGGTCAACAAATCGAGCACTCGCGGCTCTGGATACCACCAAAAGGCATTAGCTGAGATTCGCAATTCGCTACTACCATTTGCGAATATTGGCGGGGTTGGAGAGGTGGGTTCCAGTGCTGCTAGCACTATCTCTACTGTATCTACGACCAGTGGTATTAGCTCCGCCTCGGGTCTTAGTGGGCTATCCGGTGCTTCTGGTTCCACTGTCGATAAACCGGATCAGCGACAGGCATTGGGACAATTATTAGCCATGGGATATTCAGAGGTGAGACAGAAGAATACAGCATATTCTTTCTATGTCATCGGGAGAAAATATTGCAGTCACGGGTTTATACATTGCTGCGTTGAACTGCTACCTCTACTCATGTTATGAGTCTTGGGAATTATTTAACGCATAGAAAGGTTGCAATATATTCTTTCGCAGTTTTCTCTTGAGAGATTTCAGTGTATTATTAATTATAATCTCAATAAATCTAACGATATACGATATATATAGCACTTATTCGATAAAATCATTTTACAGGATATAGGTTTACGCGCCATGAAGTTCGCAGGATGGCGATTAGACGCAGCGATAGAATACTTGAAACAAACTCAGGGGGAATCTCTGAACGGGCTCGGTAAACTCAATAGCAAACTCATTAGGAAACCGAGTCTCGAGAGAGATTTGGGCTTGCAACGCGGCAGTCCCGCATTGGACAGTGGAGCGGGTAGCTCGCGATCCGATAGTCCACGCCTCACAGAACTTAGCACGCATCAACAGTTAAGCCGCCAATACTCGCCTAATAACTTTGTGGAACGGGAACCACCGCCTCCTCCGCCGCCTCGATGCAGTTCCACGCCACCACCACCACCGCCGCCTCACGCGCCATATAATCAGCCTAATGTGCCTACCAACATGCAACAAATGCTCAAGCGAATGTCCCCAGCGCCAGTCGTGCCGACAAGACCGACAGTGACGACGTCCAACTCGGTTGGTGCTACATCAACCTCAGTAAATCCGCCGCAGCGCGGTACTAGTCCGGTGGCGAGCGTTAATAATTCTGGCAGTCGTCAGCCAATGATTGTGCAAAATGGTCCTCAAGTACAACAGCAATTAACGCAGCAGATGCAGGCCCTCAGCATTTATCAGACGAGCAATAGCAACACGAGTATTCAGATTGAACCTCCGCCACCTTATCCCATAGTTCCATCCTCATCCGCTGGTCAAGCAGTGCAGCCGCCCTCTTATAGTGTCTCTATGCAGAATCGGCAAAGTCCCACACAGTCGCAGCAAGATTACCGTAAGAGCCCGTCGTCAGGCATCTATTCAGGTCCGACGTCGGCTGGTACGCCCAGTCCTATCACCGTGTCCACGATATCGCCTAGTAGCACGCAGACGTCAATGGCACGACCGACGCCGTTGCAAGCGTGGGGCGCGCGGCAAGCTAAAACACAACCGCCGATCATCATGCAATCAGTGAAAAGTACGCAAGTGCAGAAACCTGTGTTGCAGACTGCTATTGCTCCCACAGCGCCGCAGCCGATTTCTACTACCAACAATACACCACCACCGCCTCCTTCTTACGCTTCGTCCATTCAACAGAAACAACAGCAACAACCACTGCCTGCATATCCACCCATGAACAATGTGGCCACACCGTCCACTAATATACCGACAACAGAACCTCCAAGTTATGCAACGACGATGCAGGCATTAGCGGCACAACGCGGTATACATCATCCATTGCCGCCGCCACCTTACAGCACTCCCACTGAAGATACATCGATTATGTCTTCTACGATAGAGAGCAACAGTGGGCCGCGATCATCCCCAATTGCTCATCATCCACCACTTCAAAGGAAATACTCGCCAGTCGACAACTGTCAACACACGATGGATGCACCATCTCTACCGCCAATTGCCTCGACCTCAATGTCTGTAAGGAATAACAATAATCATTCATCCTTGCCCGAAGGTACCGCCACCGTTGGTATCAAAGGTAGTGGCAACACCAAAAGCGATCACAGCGGTAAAATCAAGCATCAATCTCCTATACCCGAGCGCAAAACCATGAGCATAGAGAAGGAAGAAGAACGCAGGGATTGCAAAGTAAGAAATTATTCTCCTCAGGCTTTCAAGTTTTTCATGGAACAGCATATAGAAAATATTCTCAAATCGCATAAACAACGTCTCTATCGACGTATGCAGTTAGAAACGGAGATGGCGAAAATCGGCCTGAGTGCGGAAGCACAGTGCATGATGAGGAAGATGTTGTCGCAGAAAGAATCTAATTATATCAGATTAAAACGGGCGAAAATGGATAAGTCAATGTTCACCAAGATCAAACCAATCGGTGTCGGCGCATTCGGTGAAGTCACGCTCGTTAGGAAGCTCGATACCAATCAGTTCTACGCAATGAAAACCTTGCGTAAAGCCGACGTGTTGAATCGCAATCAAGTTGCTCACGTGAAAGCCGAGCGTGATATATTGGCAGAAGCTGACAATGAATGGGTCGTCAAACTCTATTACTCGTTTCAGGATAAAGATAATCTGTACTTTGTGATGGATTACATACCCGGTGGAGACTTGATGTCGCTATTGATTAAACTCGGCATCTTCAAGGAACCATTAGCAAGATTCTACATCGCCGAACTCACATGTGCGGTTGAAAGCGTTCACAAAATGGGATTTATTCACAGAGACATTAAGCCAGACAACATCTTAATTGATCGTGACGGACATATCAAACTGACCGATTTCGGCCTCTGCACGGGATTCCGTTGGACTCACAATTCTAAATATTATCAACAAAACGGTAAACATACTTCAGTCATTTCTTTTTGCATAGATATTCAAATATTGGATTGCTTACAAAAAATTGCAATAATTTGCATAACAAAATTAAAAGCAATGTGTTTATATTCATTTATATTTATTTAGATATTTCTTTTTATTAGGTAATGTATGCATCGTATTTTTTTGTTCGAAAAATATATTCGTATCAGTCAGAATGAAAAATTGACATAAATTTTGTAAGCCATCAAAATACCGATTTTTCTTCTGTTAAAAGAATTTGCAAGGATAAATGATAATTGGAAAGTATTAATATGGAGATATAAGATAGGCATTTCAATTTAACTAATTTTTGGCGAGATATAATTTCAAATTTTCTGAGAATTTTGTCCAAAATAATAAAAAAGATAAATTTACGTTCAAAAAATGTTATAAAATAGTATTATACTTTAAAATATAAAGTATTCTCTGTAACTAGATGAGATTTTATTTTTAAAACGTCATTAAAGATACAAAGAAATAATGTAAGGCAAAATTAAATGGCTTTAAACGCTCTATATTTTTATGTTATTTTATGCATTTTTGTGAATTGTCAATTCCACTCTGTATTTCTATCATTTAAAATCATTTAACAATTTAAAATCATTTAATTTTGCTTTACATTTTTAATCATACATTTTGAAGATACATTTTTGCTTAGTTGTGTAAGATAATTTATATATATCTTTAACTGGTTAAACTTTTTCTTTTAAGGATTCTCAAAATATAACATGTATCTAGAAGATATGATAAAATTTTAATAATTAAAAATAATATAAAACTTGATGATTTTTATTATATGATTAATTATTTGATGGCTGTGATAAAAATGACGATAATAATAACTGCTTCGATATCGTAAAATATATAAAATAGTATGCTGATGTATCTTTTTCTATAATTTTAGGTCATGGTAAGCAAGATTCGATGGATCCAGCTGACGATTGGAATAACGAATGTCAGTGCATACAATTGAAGCCATTAGAACGTAGACGACATAGAGAACATCAAAGGTGTTTGGCGCATTCTCTGGTTGGAACACCAAATTATATCGCACCGGAGGTTTTACAACGTACAGGATATACCCAGTTATGCGATTGGTGGAGTGTAGGAGTAATTTTGTATGAAATGTTGGTCGGTTCTCCACCATTTCTTGCCAATACGCCCGCTGAAACTCAATATAAGGTATGCAGAATATTTCTCTTTCTCTGTCTCCCCTTTTCCTTCTTTCTCCTTTGATTTTCTCTTTTACTTTCTTCCTTCGTCTTCTTTTTCTTCCTTCTTCCCTTTTTCTCTCTTCTTTTTTGACTTAAAATTCATATTCAGCAAAAATATATAAATACAAATGTTAATAAAAAGTTTTTTCTACTGTTGAATGTATTCCTCAAAGAATTAAATTTATATTGTAAGAACTGTGAAATTTTCTTCTGGAAAATGAGAATCTTTACTGATCAATCAAAATCTATCTTCTTAATAACACATATTTAACATTCTTATTTTCATTATAAATATAAGAAAAATAAAAAAATCAAGTCTTTAGAGATAGATTGTTTTTTAACGTTTTTTTCAATATCTTTTTAATAATAAATGCTTTTTTGTTTTATTTCTGCAGGTCATTAATTGGGAAACGACGCTTCATATACCGAAACAGGCCAATCTATCGCCAGAAAGTATGGATTTAATATTAAAACTCTGTGTTGGTGCCGATCGTCGGTTAGGTAAAAACGCGAATGAAGTTAAAAATCATCCGTTCTTCGCAAATATTGACTTCGAGAAGGGATTACGACGCCAAATGGCACCACATATACCTCGTATAGAATATCCAACTGACACGAGTAATTTTGATCCCGTTGACCCCGAAAAGTTGCGCAACTCAGAGTCATCGGATTCAAACAAATCAGATGAGTTATTGGACAATGGGAGGCCATTTCACGGTTTCTTCGAGTTCACATTCAGACGTTTTTTCGATGATGGTGGTGGTCCTGCGTATCCTAGTCGAATCAGTTTGGACGACAACGATAATCAAGGTCCTGTTTACGTATGACATTAGGCTAAGCTTATGATTTATGAGCACTCTGCTGCCTATTATTTTCTTCGTTTAATATTTCTCTACCGTCATTTTTTTTCCGTTCGACATTTTATGATTCAAGATAATTTTTCGTTTTATTTTTTCTTTTAGACATATTTTTATTATATTTCGCCATATATATGATGATTTTCTATTTGATATTTAAAACACAATATTATTTTGGCAACAGATATAATCATGCTTTTATAACAAATGTCGATTAGAATATATTAGGAGGAAAAATTAGAAGGTAAAGTATTTTCTATCATTTCTATTTATAATATATTCCAATCGATATTTGTTATAAAAGCATGACTATATCTGTTGTCAGAGTAGAATTGTGTCTTAATTAAATTAATTGTCTGTAATTAAATAAGGACCCTTACTTTCTGATATTTCTTTGTATATGCAAGGAACATCAATAATTTCTTTATTTTTAATTTCGACATTTTTAAGTTAAACACATCATACTTGTTCACATATCATGTTGGAAACTATCTCAGAAGAATCAGTAAATTGGTAATAAATAATTTTATGCGTCTGCCGCATCAGGATTAAATGTAAGATTAATGAAATGTAATATAATTTGTATCATTTTCAAATTAGCGATATAACATTCGATTCTTCTTAGAGGTAATAATTATGATACATGAGTATCTACGCACTATTCGTCTGACTTGAAAATGTCGAAAATAAGAAACATTTATTAATGCTTTCTCTCTGTACATATATAAATACATATATTATATTTTGTATATATGTACATACATTTTTCATTAATGCTTTAGTATTTTTGCATCTAAGAGAGAATGAGCGAGAACGAGCGAGAGATTACATTTTTGGGTGCAGTATCTAAATATTCGTGCATCATGACATAAAGTTCAATCTGATAATTTGCCATTTATAAGTCTAAAACATTAAACATATTACGTTTATATTTACATTTGACATTCATAGTTCTAAAAAAATTAAACATAGAGTTAAAAGATAAAATAATTCATGTAATATTACATTAATAAGAATGTAGCAGTAAATTATTTATTATTAATTATGTATTTATTATTAATTGCGTAATAATTACGGAATAATTAATTATGGTGCACGAATATTTGGACTAATCAAAAAATAATTTAATTAGAGTACAGAAGTACTGACATTAATACATGTTGCGTAATTGGCTAACAGTCAATTAGCAAGTCTCAAATCTATTATATGATAAATTTATTGAATTTAACATTTTTCAAATTAGAAGAAGTGTTATGATACATCAAATAATATCCGAAGGAGATAGCGACATGGAATATCTCTTTGTCTCTCTCAGTATAGATTAGTAAAAAAGTTTATTTTGTTCTACAAAAACAAATAAGCTTGAATTGCTTAAATATAGTAAATCCTGATCAAAAATTTTTAATGAAACTTATGTACAAAATCACAATACAAAATCTTTCAATATACATGTGTTTAAAAGAAAAGATATTTTCTGAGATTTTTTCAGATCTTTTTCTCTATATAAGGAAGAGTTATAAGGAAGAGTTCCTTTTAAATTGTGCTGAATTTGTGAAAAGAAGTGATCTGAAAGAAAGATAGAATCTTTCGAGTTATTATTTTTTAAGCACTTGCAAAATTAAAACTTTATACAAGCCTCATTAAAAATTTAGCAAATGTTATAAGTAATAATATCGTAGACTTATATAAAGTTATATAATCAACATTTTTAGATCAACATTTTTATGTGATAGCTGAAGAAAGAAAGTTCCGACAAGATACTTTGGACAGAAATATATAAGATGTTTTCTTTATTACACAATATTCTGGAAAGGGATAAGAGTGTAAAAGAATATTTTTCTTTCTTTTTTCTCATTAGCACAGAAGTAATCAGATAAGTATCTTTAGTTAAAGTATTTTTATTGCTTTTTCTTATCAATGTTATCTTCAAATGAAAGCGCTCAATTTATTTACATAAGTCTATGGTAAACTTATAACATCTATATTTATTTTTTAATGATTTATTTTCCTGATTGTACTAAAAGAGACAATGGCTGCATTCAGTAGAACGAAATGCTTAAGTATTATAATTATAATATTACGTCATAAGAAAGATCGCAATCTAGTAAAGAAACGAAAAATGTTACATAATGTATTGCAACAATTGGAAGAATTTGTTGTTTTGTGATATATTAATAATGATAATAGCAGAATCTTATCTTTAGGAGTACAATAATCTTATTAATTTTCACTTTATGGAATATGGAAAATTCTTGGAATACAAAAGTTAACTGATATCTCTTTATAGTGCGAACTGTCCAATCCGCGGGAAATATTTTTCTTCTTTTTATCTTTTTTTTTTAATTTGAATGGAAATTGTAAAGAAGTTTAATTCTTGTCGGTTTGGCTAGAAACAGATAATAATGTATGTAAAATTCAATTTTGATATTGATTAACATAAAATTTTTTTTCCAAATAAAGGATGTGCCTTAAAACTGTCTTCTTCCATTTATCGGTGAAAATGAAATTTTGGATGGAAATCTATATAGGAACTTGATTATAACAAGCTTTTTGCATACAGAACACGTGTGACAAGAAGTGATACGATAGCCAATCGATGTATGATTGAAAGTACAGTGACGTTCAACGCTCACTTTCTGCATCAAAAAACTCACGTAATTAAAAATAAACATACCAATTTATTATTTTTGGTTTATAACATCTCTTGACATTAAAAGTGAGCGTCGTCAAGTTCGTACTTAGACTAAATATTGAAGAATTAAAATTGAAATTTGGCTAATCAAAGTAAAGAAGTTTTTTCCTTTTATTTTGATTAATCTTTACTTTTCAATCTTCAATTTTCAATGCATAGTATCAGATAGAAGCTTATATGAAAGATATTTTTTCCCATAAAAGTTAATTAGCTAACACGCCATTGATTGACTAAAATGTCGCTTCCCAGATAGTAAAAATAATCATTTTAACATTAAAATGATTTTTACTATTTATATTTTTCTGCACTTAAAGCCCATGGCATATAAATACATAAGCAATACAATATTTTTTATTTGTTTATTGCTTACATCTTACAATCGATTCATGAGAATACTTGAATACTTGACTGTGATCGGCTTGAATCTGTTTAGGCCTAAGAAGAACATAGAAGTTAAAGTAATATCAATTTGACGTTATATTGATATACCAAATTTACGTTATATTTTGATCAATTTGACATCAAATTATGTTGATAATTTTTATGTTTTTTTTAGGAAGATTATTCACATAAATTTGCATAGACATGGACATACATAAAGAAATTAACTAATAAGTATTTAATGTATAAGATGCCATATTGCTCTCTTCTACGTATTAGATTAGTTGATTTCTTTATTATATATTTTATTTTATATATGTTATCGATATATATATGCAAATTTATTTAAATAAGTTTTTACTATTTATGTTTCTTTTATATATCATGGGTTTAACAAACTGAGTTTAACAAGTTGAGTCACAAGCGTGCTGTGTATGTAAAAATCTATAAAGAAAATATATGCAATATTTATATTTGTGAAAGTATATTTATATATGTAGAGCCAAAATTATATACAGGGTGTCACTTAATTGGCGTCCTCTATTTAGATAGCGATATTCCTCGTGGAAAACTGAGTCGAAAAGTCCTGAACCATGTTTTTTCTATAATAAAGCGGTAATTATTGAGTAAAGTTGCGTCAATAAGCACCGACTTTCAGCCTCCTTGACGAAATTTTCTTGAAGAAAACGCTTTTAACGGAAGAAATATGATTTTTAATGCAAAATAAAGTTTTTCGCATTATAGAAGAAAAAAATGGTTTAAAAGAAATGGTTTCAAATTTTTTTCATTATAGAAAAAAATGATTCAGGACTTTTCGACTCAGTTTTCCACGAGGAATATCGCTATATAAATAGTGGGCGCCAATTAAGTGACACCTTGTATATATGTTATATATATAATGAGGCCAAATTTAAGGAGATTTTATTGTAGTAAAAGTATATAATCGAATTAGCGACAATAATGTTATTTAACATTAATGCAATTAAATGCAGTGTACTTTTAATGTAACGGAACCTTGGGAATCGCTAAATAAACATATTGCAATTTAATGGAGTACTTAGTATCGTTCAGCAGAAAATCATAAATGAATACAAAACAGTTACGCTTGCTGAATGCATCCAACAATATCCGACAGTTGTTATCTTCTTCTATTAATAGTGCCAAAGCTCTTTTTAACAGGGTTTCCATATGACGTTAAATCGGTAATTGAAATGCATAACTTACTGGGAAAATAGAATTTATTGGATTTTTATGTCATCGATATTACGGACTTCTATATATTTTATTAAACCGCTAATACTATTAATATCAATGTTTTACCCTATAAGATGTAGCCATGTTAGTGGTTTAATATAAGATATATTAGATTGGATCAAAAAGTAAAATTTCTTATCTTATTATGATTTTTATTTATCACTTATCCACAAATTGGATTTAAAGTGTAAATAGTATTTAATATAAGCTAATGACTATTTTTTTATAATCTTCAAAAAGATTGATGCATTTATCTCTTGAAAAACGGTTTAAAAAAAGGTTTAAAACAGGTTTAAACAGATTCTCTCTAAAAATCTGGCTCTTGATATAATTTATTTAAACTGTATTTAACATTTAAATTATTCTTATCAGAAAATCAGAAAGAACCAGATCTAGATTATAGGCAAAATTTGCTTTATAATCAAATAATCATTACAAAAGTTTTTGAATTCGATATGTAGAATGAGATCTAGCATTATCGCGATGAAAATTCATAAGAAAAAAGCTTGGGTTCTCTAGAAAGAAGGGAAATCTTTAAATTCCTGCCAAAAGATTAGTGCATCAATCTTTTTGAAGACTATTTTGAAGTCGGTTGTTCTAATATCTATTTTTTAACATAATAAATCCAATTTATGCATAAATTATAAATATAATAAAAAGAAGAAATAAATAGGGAATTTTTATCCATTTCAATAGAAGTCTGTGATGTTAATCCAATCTATATATTCTGCCTAATTTAGATATGTCCTTGCATCGCTGTTAGTGTCTTCTAAGCCTAATTTACACCAATCGTT